TATTTGCTCTGATATCTTTGGCTTAAATTTTTTTTTTTAAAAAATTGTCACTCTACATTCAATTCATGGTTGTTAAACGTTGTGTTACATGGATTGCTTATAATTTTTTTTGATATCTTTGGCTTTTTTAAAAAAAAAATTGTCAATCTACATTCAATTCGTGCTTGTTAAACATTGTGTTACATGGATTGCTTATAATTTTTTTTTTTTGCGTCGTGGTGTCTTAGTTGTCTCTTCAAAATCTATACATTTTTAAAACATTTAAACCATCCATGTGTGTATTTTAGTATACAGTATTGACTACTATCACAATAGTGTTCTCAGAGTATACAATGTTTTCAAAATCCTCTAGAAACATACCTAATAAAAGCAATTCTGGTTCCAAATCTATATAATTTTGAGGTGATTTAACTGACAAACTTTGTATTTTATATCAATAATAACTGAGTAGGTTTATAACACATAATAGATGTTATCTAAAGCATTTTATACAGATTATCTTTATATAATTGTTTAGCCATTTTTACCTCCACACGTCATGTCTATATCAATATCGTATCTAATGTATATTCATTAAATACTATTTGTTTTGCCCCATCCTTATATCTAACTTCACTTTACCTTAAAAACCGCCATGTTATGCCTTTACCCTGATTAATGATCCCCTATTTCAGTTTTATTCCCTTTTTTAATATATAAGATATGCCCCTTTACAATTCCAGAAGTTAAGTATATACATGATTTCAACGTTGAGGGCCACCTTAATATTTTTCCCTTTTTCATCTTTCTAAGTAACTCATTCTCTTATTTGTCTTTTCCCAATTCTTGTTTCTATCTCCCTAAATATTCTGCCGACCCTTGTATCGTGTGAAAACATTTTATACACTTGATCTATATCCAGTAGATCTTTATGCACTTGAGCTATCTCCAATAGATCTTCCAGGCTATTTTTAATTAATTCTGCTGATTTTCTATCCCTTATCTTAATACAGCTATAAGTCTCATCGGCTGTAGGATTAGAATGAAATCTAACTTTTTCCCTCTGGTTTCCTCCAGCCCTTCTTTTGGTTGGCATTCATCATCTTCCACCCTCACATTTCCTTGTTCAGTATTCCCTGTCTCCTGTTAAATCTATTCCTCCTTTAGTTACTCCTTGAATGATTTCACCTCTTTGCTACGGGATCTCACTATTTCTAAGATTGCTTGAAGGGTAAATTTTGTTCCATCCAAAAATTTTCCTTGTTGTAGCATTATATCCCAGGAATCCAAGTACTTGTATTTCAAGTAAAAGATGTCCAGAAGCTGAGAGCAGTCAGTCCAATTCCCACAATAATTGCTTCAGTAAGTCCACTTTAGTAAGTTGATCACCTTTAGGGTTAATTTAAAGCCAGTCTCTGATGTAAGTTGACAGCCCCATTCACTCGATGCTTGTATTAGACTTTCCAAAGTTAATTGTCTATGTTTTAGTCAGTTCTCAGGGAAAAAAAAGTCAAAACAGAGCCATGTTTGAGCATTCAAGGTCATGTTCTGGGCTTTTTGCCAACCCTGTAAATATCCATAACAGTTTAACTCCCAGTGTTATTTGGCTAAAATAATTTTAAGAGGAAAATTTCTTGAGTTTAACGCCAAAGTAATATCAAACTTTCTTCCTTTAAGTATAATTAAGTGTTTAATTAATATCCAATTTATTTTCTTTGTGTCTCCCTCCATCTCCTACTCTCTCCAGCTTCTCCGCAGCTCAATCAACGATGATGGAGAGCTATGAGACACTATTTTTGCCATAGGAATTGTCTTATCCAGGGATAGTAAATAAATACAGTTTTTAAAGATGTTTCTCACCTGTTTGTAGCACAATGTTAATTAGGCTGATTTATCGCTTCTTTTACGTAGCTGCCGACAACTTGCAAGGAAGCTAGTTCAGCTGCTTGTTTCTGCCCACTGGTTGTTTGGGGAGTTTCCTGGATCCAATATGGGTAACCACCATTCCCCCATGATCAGCAGGTGTCTCCCCCATTTCACCACCTCTTTGGGGTGGTTTTAACCCCTTGGGGACGGAGCCCCATCCTCCTGCTACTGTCTTGTCACAGTGTCAAGCCAGAAGTCCCCCCAAAACAATTTTAATATTTCCCCTCTCTAACTATATATTCCTTCTCTCTACTGTGCATAGGGTGCAAGGGTGGGGCATGCCTACATCACACATACCATGTCTAGAGCTGCCCAAAGAGACTAGCCTCCTAAGGTGCAAGCACCTCATTAACATCACTTTGGGGGGAGGGGGTTCCAGAAACCTTTGGGTTTTCTTGGAGGCAAAAAGGTACATACCATCTGTGCTGCTTATTATAACTAAAATAAAGGAGTTCAGCACCTTCAGGATGCATTCTTTCAGCACATCAGAGATGATGCAGTTTTGCCTCCTAGAGCCTAGAAGCCTGCCCATCCCTGTTTTAAGGGCTTCTTGATCCTTCAACTAGTGTGTGATTGCAGGATGTATAGGATCTGCAGCCAAGTGTGCAATTGCAGGATGTATAGGATCTGCAGCCAAGTGTGCAATTGCAGGATGTATAGGATCTGCAGCCAAGTGTGCAATTGCAGGATGTATAGGATCTGCAGCCAAGTGTGCAATTGCAGGATGTATAGGATCTGCAGCCAAGTGTGCAATTGCAGGATGTATAGGATCTGCAGCCAAGTGTGCAATTGCAGGATGTATAGGATCTGCAGCCCAAGACTGTTTCCACTTTTTGGGACACAG